TTGACAAGTGAATCTGAGCTTCCTCTCTGTGCTTTGACTCCTTTTCCAAATTAAATGGCCAGGATTTCGCGAAAACCAGATATATTATAGATAATACGATGTCGCACTAGCTTCAGATACATATTTTTGCCAATGATACCACGCTGTTATGTATACTTGAATATTACAGCTGCAGCCTAGTTATATTAAAAGTGATTGAGCTATATGCGAAAATATCGCAGCTTAGAATTATTAAGGCGTTTTAAATTTGAAACTGTATTGTTTGCGCCAGATAGCGTTGTATCGTGAGCAAATACTGCTATATAAGGTACATGCACATAACTGACGAAAAATTCACTTTTTTAGCCTGTGGCCTAATGAGGTTGGAGGTCTCGTCCTCCCACTGTCGGTTGAGGCGGTCGAACACTTGGCTGGCTGTACTGGGCATCTTGGTAATTGACAAGTGAATCTGAGCTTCCTCTCTGTGCTTTGACTTTTTTCCAAATTAAATGGCCAGGATTTCGCGAAAACCAGATATATTATAGATAATACGATGTCGCACTAGTTCAGATACATATTTTTGCCAATGATACCACGCTGTTATGTATACTTGAATATTACAGCTGCAGCCTAGTTATATTAAAAGTGATTGAGCTATATGCGAAAATATCGCAGCTTAGAATTATTAAGGCGTTTTAAATTTGAAACTGTATTGTTTGCGCCAGATAGCGTTGTATCGTGAGCAAATACTGCTATATAAGGTACATGCACATAACTGACGAAAAATTCACTTTTTTAGCCTGTGGCCTATTGAGCAGAGGAGTGACCGTAAGTTCCCCACTTCCACTCGGAACACGAGCTGTCTTGGCTATTGGTACCTGTCCAGGGATGCTGAATATTGCATTTTTATCTATTGCTAATCGAAGCAAAAAATAGATAATTGGGCTAGAGAACTGGCTAGACCAAAATAGATTATTGGTGCAGCAATATTGGTACCGAGGGCATAAGTACTAGGCTGACTGAACACCGCCCAATAGATTATTGGTGATCCGTAACCATGTGTTTTAATAAATGATGCGCTAATTGCTTACAATGGTTCATCTACTGGATCAAAAAGTTAAGGAACTACAGGTAGATAAAGGCACCAAACAGGGCTAGGGTGTAAAGGAGGGGTGATACAGTTCATCCGAAACGGAGTTTAATGAATCTGTGCAAGTGCCTTAAATTGTAAGCGCTTCAGAGGTTGGCTTGGGCATGATCTAACTAACTATACTCAGAGCCGTGCTGGTGCTCCCTAAATCATGCAGGGCGCTACTTTGGCGGTAATGTTGCTGCCGCTGCTGGTAGGATTTGCGCGACATGGCATTCATCCCCAATATCATTTTTACAGTGCGTAGAGTGAAATAAAAGTGTTCGTTGTTTCGTGCCCAACATATAGTTTCTTACGAGTTCTTGTTTGGTGTCTCTATCCTTGACCAAAAGGTAATGAAAAAGTTCATGTAAGATTCACAGTGTCAATTGCTTTTTTACGTTACTGAAGCTAATATTATCATTGACTTTATCGTGTCCGTCATTCCCCATTTGTCTTGTCAGAACTTTTCTTAATAGTAAAATTACAACGCTAAAAATAGCAGTTAGAAGATCCATTATCCCTGTTACGGAGGAGGACACCCAATATACGAAGAGTTTGATTATCTCGAGAACGTTATACAAAAAAGACATTATGTAGAAGAATAAAGACAAGTTTCGTGTAAGATAAACACAGCAAACGCGGAGCTATTTCTCGGTGTGATATCTAAGAGAGCTTCCGGCTCATGTAAGCGTCAAATTTCAATTATTCTGATAAAGTCCAAAAGAGACTTGATCGCAAGGAAAGTCGAATCAAGAATTGCTCTAAAGCCTTTTCATCTAATCTGGCGTATCATATGCCAGATTAGATTAAAGGCTTGAATACGTCGCGTGTCCAATACTTGAAGTAGTAATTATTAAACGCGAGCATGACTCCAGCGTTCCTAGGGTCTGCTGGGTATTTGTTTAAGCTCTCGTACAGGTTTGCTGGGGTCCATCGCTTCACCTTTACCCACTGCTTGAGCTGCTGGTCATAGTAATTTTTCAGTACCGATAACATCACCGTGTATTGGGTTGGCGTCTCAGATAGGAAAACCACTTTCCTCGCATCGGGTTTTCGGAGAAATTCTTGCCACTTTCCCTCAGTTTGAGAAGATTAAAAACGTATTATCTACGTCCGACCAAGAGGTGAAATGAGCCTATTTTTAAGCCCATCCACATCTCAGACCTCATTCTGGGCCACGCCTTAAAGTCGCCAATCAGCTTGGCGAGCTCTTCCTCGCTGACCTGTGCCTTCGGTTTTTTGAAGAGGAAGTCGTAGGGGCTCTCCTTGCGCGCCTCCACACGAATACCATGTGGTCGAATTTTTATTGTGAAACTTTTAAAGTTTTTGTCCTTGTAAAGTCGTAGTATCTTGGAAGACATCGTCGGAAGTTTTTCCTGCGCTCCTTCAAGCGAAACTGCGCTAGTTCCAACTTA